GCAGGTCGAGGCTGCGGTGGCCGGGAGCGGCCACTGCACTCCAGTCTGGGCGACAAAGTGAGACTCCAACTCAAAAAAAAAAATTCTGTTTTATCTTTTCAATATCTGATTCAAACATTTTATTTAAAAATAATACAGCAGGCCGGGCTGGGTGGTCACTACAGCCTCAATCTGCTGGGCTCAGGTGATCCTTCACCTCAGCCTTCCAAGTAGCTGGGACTACAGGCATGCATCACAACGCCCAGCTAATTTTTTGATTTATTGTAGAGATGAGGTCTTGCCAAGTTGCCCAGGCTGTCCTTGAACTTGTGGGCTCAGAGAATTCTCTCACTTTGGCTTCCCAAAGTGCTGGGATTATAGGCATGAGCCACCACACCCAGCCCCATGGGAACTTTTATAATTTGTGTGCTGCCCACATGGTGTCTCATTTATTAGTATTGCATAATTTCAGTTTATATGGGGGACCCCGAATTTGCTTATTAAAAATTTATATATTTATTCTTGCATGTTTAAACTTCAGTCACTTTCAAAGTACTCTCTGTTTGATGCAATACACCTATCCAGATGGTTTTTCCACCGCTTAAAATAATTTTAACTCATCCATTTTGATGCCTTTTAGTGCTTCTGCCATTTTTTTGTTTCACCTCTTCCATGTTGGCAAAATGTTTCCCTTTGAGGACTTTTTTTAATCCAGAGAAACAAACAAACAAAAAAGTTGCTCAGGATGAGATTGGATGAATAGGGAGGGTAGGACACAGAGGTCATGCTGTTTTTGGTCAAAAAATGCCGAACATTCAGCACACTGCAGGCAGGTGCACTCATATATCACCCATCATGAAACGGGCAAATGCCCATAGTGAAGGAATCTCACTCATAAGCAGACCTTGAACAATTATCATAATACTATAAGAAAAAGATTGGCAGTAGCAGGAAGCTGCTGTGTGTGTGTGTGTGTGTGTGTGTGTGTGTGTGTGTGTGTGGTGGGGTGCGGGATTGGTAGTAGTGGGAATTCGCTGAGGGGCCACACCTCATCAACAAGGCTACCTGCATAACAAACATTTGTAGACCTAACCCTAAATTGTACCCCATATCTTTTAAATAAAAAAATTAAAAGTAAAAAAAAATCAGAAAAAATAATTGATTGCTTATTCCAAACTGTCAAGGTCATCAAAAACGAGGAAAATCTGAGACCTGCCATACCCTAAATGACTACTAAGTGTAACGTGGTGTCCTGGATAGGATTCTGAACATAAAAAGGACATTAGATAAAAACTAAAAAAACAAAACAAACAAAAACAAAAACAAAAATCTGGCCAAAAAAAGAACTTCAATTACTGTGTATCAATATTGGTTCATTACTTGTAATAAATGTACCATGCTGGCATAAGATGCTAACAAGAGAGGAAACTGTCCAGAATATATGGGACCATTCTCAATTTTCCTGTAACTCTAAAACGGCCCTAAAATGAAAACGTTCATTTAAAAGTAAAGTAATAATAGTCTTGTCACCATGTAATTATAAAAATAGTTACATTTAAAAAGTGACTAAGCCGGGCTCGGTGGCTCAGTCTGTAATCCCGCGCCTTTGGGAGGCTGAGGTGAGTGGA